TCAGGCGAATAAACATATTGTCCCAGCGATCGAGTCTTCTTCTTCTCGATAACAGGAGTCCCTATTCAGAACAATACATTAATTAATAAGCCCGACGACTGCAGCCTATTTATTAGGCTTTGGCCTTCTAGAACACTCCTGGCCCAATAGCATGCAACCGTTGTCCTGGCCTTCCGCTGATCGATAGTTTGCCGCGGTGTGTAAGTGGTCGTCACGTATGCCCTGCGATCGATAGTCCGTCAGGCTCTGTGAGCGGTCGTCGCGCATGCACGCTAATCGATAATTCCTCACGTTATCTGAACGGTCGTCACGCTTGCTCGCTGATCGATAGTGCCCCACGCTTTGTAAGCGGTCGTCGCTCGTGCATGCTGATCGATATTTCCCCACGCTCTGTGAACGGTCATCGCGCGTGCACGCTAATCGATAGTTCCTAACGCTCTGCGAACGGTTTTAGCGTTAGCTGTTTGCCAGCGCATGACTACCGGCCCTAGGCTCTGAGTACGTAGCCGCTCGCGTCCCTATAACGTAGACACCCGAGAGATAATAATCAAGGGAATTGATTGCAACCGCATGTTGCATCAAACTGGGCCACGTGACTCATCTAGTAGACGCAGTTGGCTTTGAAACAAGCAAAACCTGCCCTACTGGCCCGGAAATCTTTCAATGACTGGTTGGCTTACGTTCGAGTAAAGGGTCAATTTAGGAACCAATAGGTCACCTCTGTGTATGCACCAACATCAGCTGCTTAACAGCAAGATAAGGAGAACTTTAACCTATAGCTGCAGGAGCTAGTTGAAAGGTTTCCTAACTGTGATTAGTTGAGAAGCAGAAAAGAAGAAGAAGAAGAAGAAGAAGAAGCAATCACTAGAACAAGAAAGTAAACCTCTTGCTCCATTAGTCGTTTCTTCTTCTGAACTGCTTCCTGGAACTCGCATATTCAATTCCATTTTGATTGGACGATTGATGTTGGCGACCAGAATGACGGTAGTGGGCACGATCGCTCGCCAAAAAGTCAATTTATTGGTTGTTTGGGCCTTGGCTCGCAAGCCGACAATGAAGCGAAAATGTTGCATTTTGTTGATCAGAGCCGACTGCTTGTCACCAAGACGGGCTTTCTACATCGTCGTAAACACATACTGGCCTGGTATTCAACCGACTGCCGTAGCGATAGGGTCGCGCGAAAAAACTGGAAAATTTGTGTAAAAATCGAATTCCTCAGAAGTTTCTGCAGCAGCCGTCAGGAAGATTTTTGGGGTTGGAGGGCACCTTTGCGTGACAGATAAACTAAAACAAGGGCAGGATGGCTACGGCCTGGTTTTCGCGACAAATAAATTTAAAAAGTCGTATTAGAAGACAGCTTTTTTCGGCCATTCACTTCAGGCCTCTAGAATGACATGGAAAATAAGCGAGTAAATCGGGCAGTTCTGTAAAGCGCTTATGTCTTTCTTGAGATGGGGGAGGGGGGAGGGCGGGGCAATTAGTCATTTCGTCGTCTACTCTTCTCCTGCGTGCCGGACTCAGCATGTCATGGACGTTGGGTTGTCACGCACGTGGAGCGGGGGAGGGGCGTTCTCACGGTAGAAGAACAACGAGACGTCTAGAGAAGAGGGTACGCGAACACATACCAGCCTGGCTAAGTAAATGTGAAAATATATCGATCTCAAGCTCAATCCTTGCACACTTGATCGAAATAAATCATCAAGTTGACGCGAGAGACGCCTTTTAGGTCATATACCAGGCACCAACACAGTACTCTAAAGGCCTGTGTAAACGGGTGCTAGCTACAGCTGAGGCAGTGCACTTCGTTTAGCAAAACCCGTTCGTTGCTGTCAAAAGACGCTGGTACATGCAGTTTCTCTTCCGTGGCCGACTGCACACAAGGATCCCACACCGCCAGAAGCCACGTCAGCAAATATGCAGCCTGAAACCATACTACTTACAGCCCCAGAATACAAGCCATGCGACCACGCTGCTCGCAGTCACAGGGAGCACGCCTCGCGTCTGACGTCGACCGTGAGAACCTGGCTCTCCCGCTCCACGCGCGTGACAACCCAAAGCCCTCGACA